GAACGGATTTGGATGAAATTTGGTACGCATATAGTGTATGACCCAGATTGAGACATAGAATACTTTTTATCCGGGAAAACGTCAGGTTCCGGTGCGATTTTCAACAAACTAAATATTTAAACGAAGTCGCGGGCGGTCGCTCGTAGATACATAATTTTAAAAAAATAATGCAGAACTATGTAAATGTCGTAGAAAACCAACCAAATATACAATTTTGTTTTAATTAACACTAGATAGAGCATAATATTACGAAAATTTGATTAATTTTAGCCGATTACCTATTACTAACCTAAAAAAGCTAGAGGAGCTCGATGGCGCGGGTGGTAAGCGCGTTCGGCTGCGATCGTTGAAGCTAAGCAACTTTCGCAGTGGTCAGTCATTGGATGGGTGACCAAAAATTATCTATATCGAGTTCCTCCGTGCTTCGGAAGGCACGTTATGCCGTTGGTCCCGGTTGCATCTTCAGTCGTTAGCACCCGCCATTCCGCACTGGGCCCGCGTGGTGGGTCATGGCCCAATCTCCCTATTCCATCCATAGGGAAGGCATGTGCCCCAGCAGTGGGGACATAAATAGGCTGACGATGATGATACCCTAAAAAAACGGAAGAATTATAACGCTCAATTATAAAGGTCCATCGTCACCCTTTTTTAAGGGATCCGTAATGGCTCCATTACACTTGGCCGTTAGCCCGAATACAATACGAAAGTCGGGCAATTACCTGACTTTCGTATTGCCAAATTCGAAGCGTGTAAGACGTATCTATAACTTTAAAACATCATAACGGAAGAGTGACTTTTTTCTATATTGTTCCGTACCCAGTTTAAAAAAATACATTCCAGTCTCAGAAATAGTATCAGCACATGCAAGCCACTCGATCACAATATATTTAATAGATTACCTTTATTTGTTTAGATAAATCAATTAAAATAAAGTTCTTGTAACGAATTAAGTTACGTCATCAAGTTTTTAGCAAAAAATCGACATCCGTGTAGTTTACGATTTAACCAGGTCCGTGGATTTAACTAAATAAAAAAATCTTGTGAACTCTGATGACTCGAAATAAATCCATGCTTCTTTTCTTATTAATTCATCATAATCATCATCAGCCTATTAATGTCCCCACTGCTGGGGCACAGGCCTTCCCTATGGATGGAATAGGGAGATTGTGCCATGACCCACCACGCGGGCCCAGTGCGGATTGGCGGGTGCTAACGACTGCAGATGCAGCCGGGACCAACGGCTCAACGTGCCTTCCGAAGCACGGAGGAACTCGAGATAGAAAATTTTTGGTCACCCATCCAATGACCGACCACTGCGAAAGTTGCTTAACTTCAACGATCGCAGCCGAACGCGCTAACCACTCGCGCCATCGAGCTCCTCTAGCTTTTTCAGGGTAGTAACTTAGATTAAAACAAAAAGGGTAGATACGGTACGCTCATACTTGCATCAAACAAAAACTGATCCCACGGCAGCGCGAACGGGACGGCGAGATCCGCGTCACTGCATTACCGACCCGAACGAAACAGCACGTTAAGTTTCAACGGCAGCGCGAACGAGACGGCGAGATCCGCGTCACTGCATTACCGACCCGAGCGAAACAGCACGTTAAGTTTCAACGGCAGCGCGAACGAGACGGCGAGATCCGCGTCACTGCACTACCGACCAATCACGCGACTAGTACTCGACGTCACTACCCAATAAGATACAAAACAAACAGCATTTTTTATGAAAAAATATATTTTGTCGTACTTACGAATGAAAAGTGATACTAAGGGTGTTATTTTTAGAACTTTAGCAATTTGAGCACTTTTTAAAAACACACTTAGGCATTGTTTTATCATATAAACACAAAATATTAGCAATATTTCTTTTTGATGTTCACATGTACGTCGTTTGCATGTCAAGTTGTGACTAAAGCGATTAGGGTCGTGGACCACAATTCATGCGGATCACTTTTGTGAGGCTAGTGCCGTATCTACCCTTTTTGTTTTAATCTAAGGGTAGTAATAGGTAATCGGCTAAAATTAATCAAATTTTCGTAATATTATGCTCTACCTAGTATGGGTAAGTACCTGTGTATATCCTTTTCAGTCTAAAACGGGTGCGAAACGCAAAAATGTAATAAAAAGATGTTACAGCGTGTTTTATATAATCATTTAAAAATAGTCTTACTAAAAGTTTGCAGGCTAATGTAACCTTAGTCGATTTCGTTGGTGCTTACTCATCATTCTGTGTTTTCCCCTGGAAACCCCATCAGGTTAACGAACAATAGTCCCCTATGGGAAAACGTAATTGTTGAGCCGTCACGCTATTTCGCGACCGAGCGATATGGTGCGAATAAGACCTAGGTTTTTTATGTTAATGTACATGTGTTTTTTCATTCTTTTTGTAATAGTCGTGTCATATGGTTAATAAAAAATCTCTCTTTCTCTCTCTGTCTGTAGATGGCGAAACATATTGGTTGAATTTTTCATTTGTACTCTCATGAGCAGCGATAATGACTAGTTGATTGAATATAGACGTACAAAGGGAAGGCAAAGGAAATTAAAATTCTGAATACAAGGCCTTATGCTCAAAATTATAATCTGTTTTTTTTTTATTTTTTTTTAAATAACGGTGAAAAGTACCTTTTCATATTTTTGAACGTTTGCACTGTTTTTATGGTGAATCAAGGCATCTGTCTTTAGTTAGGAAGGTAATACATAAACCTTATCACTACAAAAAGTTTAAGAGAAAGAAACCTTGTTTAAGAATTACTTAAACAAGGTTTGAAGCAGTGTCTAACTTTTTGTAGTAAAACCGAAAAAAATACAATTAGTAATTGACGCTCTTTTAAATAGTTATTATATTTGACGCTTTTCCTACTTTTCCCATTTAACAAAGTAAGCAACTACTTATATAGTTTTTTTTGTCGCGACAATGATTTCTTCAATTTTGATGATTGAATTGATATTATTTTCTAAGCACATTTGAAATAAAAATAATTATTGAGGAATTCCACATGATAAAATTGTGCCAAAACAATCAAAATCTCTTCCCTTTCACTTACTCTGAATGAAGTCGTAGTTATTTGTTTATATATTTCTCCAATTTGGGAAGCTATTTGATTCTTTGTTTATACAGCCTAGTTTATATGAGACGGCAACAGATTCTTTATTCATAAAGCCACGCTTCCAGCATGCAATGATTCACTTTACAAGTCAAGTATCTTATTTAAGTGCAGTTGTTCCTTATAAAGCAATTGTTTATTAAATCAAATCAATTCAGCTTACTGTACCATAATGTGTGATCATCGTAAGTAGCATGCTTGTCGTCGAGATGTCAAGACTGTTAAACGATGGAATCAGTGCTAAATTGTTTCTCTGTCTGGATACTTCATCAGCTAATCATTTAATTGGTTGACGAGCTTGGAGATCATGTTACACTGTCGTATTGCTTTCAATTGAGATAGACGTCAAAATTTATAACACTGATAATTCTAGATTGTCTCTTGTTTCTTAAATTGCATACAATGAATGAATGTGCGGACCAATGCTGTGATGAACTAACCAACAATTACATTATGGTTGCACTCAAGAGAGGTCAATAATTTTTTTAGTTGGGTAAAATTGATGCGGCGTATTTTGGCCATAAGTATAGATAGTTCTTGGCTGTATAATAATCGTAGTGAGAGCTCGAAACGAGGTCAGCTATGGAAAAACTTCAAAAAATATGGAGAAACAGGAACATCACAAAAGCCACGAGAATACGACTCGTCAGGGCATTAGTGTTTCCCATATTCCTCTATGGTGCTGAGACGTGGACCTTGCGAGAGAGTGAGAAAAAGAAGATAGACGCTCTAGAAATGTGGTGCTGGAGGAAAATGATAGGCATACAGTGGACACAATACCGAACCAATGCATCCATCCTCCAGGAACTGTCCATCAAACAACGTCTGTCTTCCAACGCACAAGGTCGTATTCTAACTTTCTTTGGCCACATCTCACGCCGAGAAGATGCGTCAGTGGAACGACTGGTGGTGCAGGGCAAAGTCGAGGGCGTAAGGGCGCGCGGCAGATCACCAATGCGCTGGACTGACCAGATAAAAGCGGCACTGAACGGTCCACTTCACGAGTACACGAGAAAGGCCGCAGTGCGGGACGAATGGCGGCGTATTGTGAAGCGCGCCACCAACCCTGATGTGACGACCACGACCATTCTGTCAAGAGTGTAGCGCGGAAGAAAAGAAGCTCGATAGCGCAAGTGGTTAGCACGTTCGGCTGCGATCGTTGAAGTATAGTCGTGTGACGATCGTGACACATTGGTGTCGATTCTGGCACGATTCTCTAAACCTAAACTTAAATTTGACAACAGTGCATCCTTGTCATTCTCTATACAGAATGAAAAGGAAAGACTGATGTTAAATTTAGTTTTAAGTTTAGGGAATCACGCCAGAATCGGGACCATTACCGTTTCATCTTTTCCATTTACATCCCGTTAAAAAAGAAGTTTTACGTTTCATTTCAATAACCTATTCTCTAATCCCTTTTATCTTCTCGGCCTGAATAGAGGCCAGGAAGCAAACCCATAAATATACCATACCATTTTAAATGTTGACATTTTGAAACTATTAATAGATGTGAAACCGATTGAATTTAATTTAATTTTGTTTTAAATCTTTGTTTTGTTTTTATGTATCATAATTATTATTACTATTTATTATGATTTTTTCATTGGCATGCTATGATCCTTGTGGTTGAAATAAATATTTTTTTTTGTTTTTAGAACATTTATTAACCATTTAAAACCTTTTTCCAAAAAGGGTCAACTAGCCCATTACATAATTACTCTATATATAAATACTAGAACAATAAAAGTAAAACTAAAAACCTTAAAAAATATTATTATAAAAGCATAAAAAAAAACAATTGCAACAATAGAAAACTTAATTTTTATTTTAATGCGTTCTGTTTCGTTGTTCCAGAACCAGTGATGTCCATTTGACCATCGACACATCAAGATGGCGAGCGCTGGCGCGGTCCTCCTGGAGGCTCGGCCTTTCCGGCCGTTCAAGTCTTCCGAGGAGTATTTGTACGCGATGAAGGAAGATCTGGCTGAATGGATGACGGTCCTTTACCCTGAGCTCAGGATCAACGCAGACAACTTCCTGGACAGACTCGACACGGGCGTCGCTTTGTGCAGGGTAAGTCTTTATGGCACAGGCCTTTTAACCGACTTCAATAACGAAGGAGATTGTCAATTTGACTGCATACAGGGTGTATCAAAAATACAAATAAAGCTTCAAGGGCGTTGAAGTACACCATATAAGTAGTTTTCTCTAATTTTCTTAAAATATTTTCATGAAGTTTTAACTTTTTAAAAACAGTTTGTTGACGCTTGAGTAAAAAGTTGATGCCGCCGGCCTTGGAAGCACCAGCGTCCAACACCTTGTCTTCTATGTCGAAGAGGGGACAGATTTTGGAGAAAGCACGACGTACAATACCAGCAGCAGTCTGAATGTCTGCCACTCGTGAAATTCCATCTTTCCCTGGCGTGGTGGAAATGATACGACCCAAGCTCCACTTCAGAGGAGGAACGGTATCCTCTTTGATTACAACCAATGTATTAGGTTGAAGATCGGCTCCATTTCCTGTCCATTTTGTTCTGATTTGCAGTTCCGAGATATATTCCTTGTTCCAGCGAGTCCAAAAGTGCTGTCGAAGCTGCTCTAGTCTTTGGTAGTTCGTCAAGCGGTGAACAGGAACATCTGTGTAGTGAGCCGATGCAGGTGCTGTCAAAGGCCGCCCAATAAGGAAATGAGCTGGACACAAAGGGTTAATGTCGTTTGGATCAGAGGACATAGGACTCAGTGGGCGGGAATTTAGGATAGCTTCAACCTGTGACAATACTGTGCTAAATTCTTCAAATGTCAAATGTGCATTTCCAATAACCCTAAGTAAGTGATACTTGCAGGATTTGACTCCAGCTTCCCACAGTCCACCAAAATGAGGTGCGTATGGGGGGATGAATGAGAACTTAATTGATTGTGTAGTTGCGTATTCAATAATATCATCAGAGCAAGTTGACAAAAATTTCGCAAATTCGTTTGCAACGCCTACAAAGTTTCTACCGTTATCTGAAAAAATTTGATCAGGTTTACCGCGACGTGAGATGAATCTCTTTAATGCGAGAAGGTAGGCGTCCGAAGATAAGTCACTAACCAGCTCTAAATGCACGGCGCGAGTTACAAAGCAGACGAATAGACAAACATAACCCTTGACCAACCTTGAGCCTCTGCCTCTGCGGTTTAATGTGAACACTGGCCCTGCATAGTCTACGCCACAATTTATAAAAGGAAAACTCGGAGTGATTCTTTCTTGCGGTAAGTTACCCATCATGGGTGACAAAGTTTTACCCCTCAATCGCTTACAAATAATGCAGTTGTGTACAGTTAGCCTAGCAAGATCCCTACCTCCAACTGGCCAATAATGTTCGCGTATATTGTACAATAGCGCCTGCGGCGCGGCATGCTGCAAATGCTTATGTTCGTCCCGAAAAAGCACCAATGTAAACCAGTGTTTAGACGACAACAACATTGGATGCTTCTTATCATAAGGAAAATCTGCTGAATTTTCCATCCTACCGCCTACGCGTATGATTTGGTCATCATCCATAAATAAATTTAATTTTATCAATTTGTGAGTAGTTTTTAGATGTCCGTTGTTCAATAGCATTTTGTATTCCTCTGGAAACGATTCTTGCTGCGAAAACCTTATAAGATGTAAGTTTGACAATCGCAACTCCTCAACAGTGCGTGGCCCGCGGCGGCCGTGATATCTATTACGCGTGTTATGTACAAAACACAGGACATACGCTAGCGTATATTTCATCCGAGTATATTGTGAAAATCTTTGAAAAGGAAAAATAGAAATCTCTGTCCTAGCCAAAAAGGTGCAGTTTACCTTTAGTTCAGGTAAATCTTGTTTACTATAATTATTTTCACGGTTGGTTCCGTACTCAATTTCAGAACTATGAAGAAATGACGGTCCCTCCCACCATAATGAGGCTGATTTAAGTTTGTGTAAATACAGCCCCCGGGATACTAAATCAGCGGGATTGTTACCTCCACTTACATGATACCAGGGTACATCCTTAACAATTTCATGGATTTCTGAAACTCTATTCCTCACAAATGTTTTTAGCAAGTTAGGAGCCATGCGTAACCAACCCAGCACAATAGTGGAGTCGGTCCAAAAAACTACGTTGTTAAAATCAACAGAGTAAAGGGCTTCACGTACTCTTTTAAACAGTTTTGCACCCAATAACGCCGCGCATAATTCTAACTTTGGGATACTAATTGACTTTAAGGGTGCAACCTTTGCCTTTGAGCAGTAAAGCTGAACAGATACAGAAGAATCAATGTTAATAGTGCGAATATAAATGCATGCTCCATACGCAGACTCCGAGGCATCACAAAAAATATGTAACTCTCGACCTACGGGTTTCATTCCCTGTACGTACCGAGGTATGCGCATGTCACCAAGAACATGCAAAGAAGAGGAAAATCGTTCCCAAACTTTGACATCCCCAGGGACTTCTTCGTCCCAACCTATTTTTATTAACCAAAGTTTTTGCAACAGAATTTTACCTAAAGTTACAAATGGACTTAATAATCCTAACGGATCAAAGATTTGTGATATCATTGACATAATATAACGCTTTGTCATAGTTTGAGAACTATCTCTTTTAAATGCTGTGTTAAAATGAAATTGATCCGTAGTATGAAACCAGCCTAAATCTAAAGTTTTCGAATGTATATTCTCACCCAAAGACAAATCTTTAGATTTTTTATGCATAAAGTCTGTATAAAGGTTTTTATAATAGAGATGACGCTGAAGCCGTTTTTCTAGCGCAAAAAACCGGTGCTCAGCTTGTGAATAACTTTCGCCTAATGTATCTGTACTTTTATTAAAAGGTATACGAACACAAAATCGTCCGTCACTATTTCGTGTAGTTGTAGTGACAAAATGTTCCTCACACGCGCGTTCCTCATCAGTACACGTACCCTGAGCTACAGTTACTTCCTCGAGCTTCCAAAACTGGCGTGGCAAGGACTCGACTGATTGAGAGAAGTTGCATTGTATGTACTTATCTTGTCGCAAAAGCGTACAAATAGGTCCTGATACTACCCACCCGAGTTTAGTATCTAATAAGAAAGGCCCGCTTAATAACTTTAATTTATTGTTATTATTTAATAAATCCCAAAATTTATCTGCGCCGATTAGAATGTCTATCTTGTGGGATTCATAAAATTTCGGGTCCGCTAGTTGAACATTGTCGGGAATGTCGAAATGAGAAGATTGGAGTGTTATAGCCGGTAACGAAGGAGTGATTACCGGAAGAACATAACACTGCAAATGCGTAGAATACGGGTTGGTGCGCGATTTAATCTCGATGTCACATATTTGAGTTGAATTTGTGACCGAGTTACCAACACCTCGTATTTGTTGAGTGGACTGTATTACTGGCGCTTTAAGTGAATCGCATAATTGTTTAGTAATGAAACAACGTTCGCTCCCGCTATCAAGGAGCGCGCGGGCAACATGAGTATTATTATAAGGATCGGCTATCTCAACTAACGCAGTAGACAGCAAAACAACATTGGCCGCTATTGTTTGTGCATCAGGTAAATGTGCTTTATTCGCATGTATGATTGAAACCTGTTCTGATAAGGACGCGGCAGGCGACCGCGGGACGGAGTGCGTGGGGAAAGAGGGCTTACGCCCGGAGTGAGCGAGCGGCGCAGGCGCAGGATCCTCAGTGCGGTGCAATGCGTGAACTGCGTCGGAATTGTTATTTACATTGTAGGACACGGATGATATGTTACTGTCATTATGAATTAGCGAATTATGTTTTTCGTTACATTTTCTGCAGGGACCAAAACGGCAATAATCGGCAGTGTGACCAGTGCGCAAACAATTAACACACAGTTTCATATCGCTAACAAATTTTATTTTCTTATCGTAACCGTAATTTAGAAACTTTATGCATGAATATAGTGGATGGTTCGCCTTGCATAACAAACAGGTTTTCCCAGTGACATCTCGTGAATAGCGTTCCGGTGGCTTACCGGCAGAAACATTACAGTGAACTTTTGATTGACTATGTTGTTGTGGGTAGTGTTTTTTATTTTCAAAATTTGTCTTGTTATGTGATAACTGTAACGTTTCTAGCATGTCAGCCCGGTCATTAAGGAAACCAATTAAATTATCCACCTTAAGCTGTGCCTTGTGATTATTATTAGCAGATAATGAGGTGCCTTTGTATTGTTCCCATTCGCGTTCAGTAGTTGGGTCTAATTTAGATACCATTATATAAATAATCAGGGTATCCCACGATTCAGTTGGCTCACCGAGAATTTTTAATGCACGCAAATTCTTTAAAACTGTGTCTATTAATTTTCTTAATAAAGCTGGAGACTCTTTGTTGATACTTGGCATTGTGAATAGAGATTTAACGTGATTATGAACCAGCAATCTGCTATTATTGTAACGATTGAGTAGTAATTCCCAGGCAATTAAATAGTTGTCACTAGAAAACTCAACCGAATTTATAACCAGTTCCGCGCTTCCTCTAAGTGACGACTTAAGGTAGTGGAACTTTTCTATATTACTTAACTCCTGAGAATTGTGGACTAAAGATAGAAAAGTGTCCCTAAACTCTAACCATTGTTCACACAAACCGTTAAAGGAGGGTAAAGAAATAGTAGGTAACTTTATAGATTTACTACTATGACTACAAGCGTTGGAGTTGCTGGCAAGTTGGTTTGGGTTCAATAGATATTCAGCCTGCGCTAGGATACTGTAATAACCATCTTCGAACGATTCTCTCTGCGTTAACTGCTCATCCAAATCAACGGCTAAGTCCTCCAATTGACTCTGAATATCATTGAATTCTTTATATAAATTTGAAGCCCCTTGAATACGCAACTTTAAATCTATGCGAGACTGACTTGAAATATTCTCTACTTTCATGTTACAGAGATAGTTAGCAAATTTAGTTAATCTACCCTTAACTATACCGCGTTTCCTTACTAAATCCTTAATCAAGCTCTCATTGCTACATTTGTAAGGGGATTTTTCACGCACTAGGCTTGGATCTACACTCATTTTGGTGAAAAGTAGTAAA